AAACAATGACAGAGTTGATATTTCGCCAAACTCAAGGCTATCAAAGACAACCGTTGAATACAATATGGGTCTATCAAAATGAACCCTTAAAACTGTAATGAGGAAAGAACCTATTGATGAATATAATGCAAGCATATTAAGTGCAACTAGTCAATCCATAGTTTACCATGATGAGATGTATCAAGTGAAACATGTATATGGAGGAAGTAATGAAGATCACTAGATTACAAGATGTTGTAACCGCTAGATTTAGGTTAGATATAAGTACATCTGGCATTATGTTCCTCTAGCAGATGTAAACAAGACTAATGTAAAGTGTGTGACCAAACATATGGCCACACACTTGAACACTACGCCCTCGGACTGTGTGAATATAGAACTCTTAGGGACAAGCACACCTCGTGTGTGAACTGGCACAACACTTCATCTCTACGGCAAGATAGCCGAAATATTAAGATTGTATCCACTTTTGCACGTAGTAACTAGCCAGTTCCCATGTATAGAACCAAACACACTTTGTCCTTGAATACTTTCAGGCAAATGTGAATAACAAAGTGTGCTGCCAGACATACTGCCTCACACGCCTGTACTACCCTTTGTGAATAAGGTACCTTTATGTATAGAACTAAACAAATAATGTAATTGAAATACTGTGGTAACATTCAGTGCCATAATATCCCGATCTAATGGGGTAAGCTAATTATTATGACCCGGTGTAAACTCTACTTGTAATCCTTGCGCCATCAGCTTCACACAGGATGAGTATGGGTGTGTAAATTATAAAGTAGCCGCTGTAAGCTACAAAATCAATCAATCCATCTCCACACCCTCCCCCACGCCCTTCATAGCCACCCGTCCCCACGCCCATAACCACACCCTCCACGCCCTCCATACCCACACCCCTCCTCCACGCGACCTACTGCCACCCCTCCCCCACGCCCATTCCCACACCCTCCTCCACGCCTCCATACCCACACCCTTCCTCCACACCCTACATACCCACATCCCTCCTCCACGCCCGACATACCCACACCCCTCCTCCACGCCCCTCTATACAGGGGCCCTCCCAGCTGCGGTGGTGACCCAGGGACCCCTCACAGGGGCGGCGGTGACTCCAGGGACCCACCTGGGCGAAGCGGCTGCTGCGACCTCAGGGGCCATCCTTAAAGGCGGCGGCAGCTCCCAGAGGCCCTCCCCAAAGGCAAGGAATCCCCCCAGGGGGACCTCCCAGAGTGGTGCCTAGGGCAACGGCGCCCCCTGGGTTCTCCTTAGGGCAGCGGTGCCCCAGTGGCTTTTCTTCAGGGACGGCAGTGCCCCCAGAGGACCTCAGCTAGGTCAGTAGCGCCCCTAGGGCCCCTCCCCAGACGGAGCCCCCAGTGGTTGTCCTAGGGGGCAGCGACGCCCAGGGACAATCCCAGAGGCGGTGGCGCACTCCAGGGTCCTCCCGAGGGTCAATGGCGCCTCCAAGGACCCTCCAGGGTTCTCTTAACAGCGGTGGACCCAGAGGCGGTGACAACCCCAGGACCTCTTGCAGGAGCAGGGTGCCCCAGGGAACCTCTCTGGCCTGTGGTGCCTCCAGGAGACAAGTTCATTGACTGTGGCGGCCATTGTGGACCCTCGCAGGGCCCTGCCAAGGGCGGTGGCGCCCCAAGGACCCCCAAGGGCGGTGGCGCCCCCAGATCCCTCACAGAATCGCAGCGACCGCAGGGGCTCCAAAGGCTGCATGGGTCTCAGGCCCCTCAAGGGGCGATGGTGCCACCAGAGGCCCTGCCAGGGACGGAGGAACTACCAGCGGTCGCCCAAGTGCGGCAGCCCCTTCCAGGGGCGGGTGGTTCTCCAGAGGCTCTCCAAGAGACCCTCGATGGGCGGTGGTGTCCCCAGGGCCTCCAGGGCGGCAGCAGCACGGCAGGGGCCATACTAGGTCAACAGCGACCCCTGGGCTCTTCCAGGGTGGTGGCGAATCCCAGGACTTGCCAAGGGTCGGTGATTCAACTGCCCTTCCCAGGGCGGCGGCGAACCCAGGAGCCTCTTAGGGTTGCCACCGATCCTGGGGGCTTCGGGTGCCATCAACTCTGAAGGTCTCTGCGGCGGCGACACCCTGAAAGGCCCGTGGTGGTGTCTCCGCCCCTGAACGGTTCCTGGATGTTCCACCGTCCCTGAGAGGCCAAAGAGAGCGCAAATGCTCCTACTCAGGGGATGCCACCCCTTGCAAGACCACTGGGGGTGCCATCCCCGGTAGAGACCACAGCGGAGCCACAGCCTCTGGAGAGTCCCCCTCAGGAGCCAACGCCCCTGGAGGATTCCTGGCGATCGTCCCCGGAGGGCCCCTGGGAATGCCACCCCTTGGGAGGGAACTCTTGGGGTGCCACTGCCCTGGCAAGGCCTCGAGAGAGCCCATGTGGGTGCCAATTCTCCCCTGAGAGGCCCCTGAGGGCATCACGGCCCTGGGTTGCCACAGCCAGTGGTAGGGCCCTGGATGATCCTCTGGGGATGCCACAGACCGTGGGAGGGGCCACAGGGTGCTACCACTCGGCAGGGCTCCTTTAGATGCCACTGCCTATGGAAGTGCCAATGCCACTGGCAGGGCCTCTTGGGACATCTGAAACTGCCACTGCCCCTGGGAGGCACCTGGGGCATCTGCGGACCTGAGAGGGAGAACTGATGACCCCTAGAGTGCCACCTCACCGCTGGTAGGCCCCAGGGGTTGTCACCACTCTGGAAGGACCCTGAGGTGCCAACACTGTGGACGGCCCCTGAGGGAGCCTGCCACCGCCCCTAGCTGATTCTCCTCTGGGGGTGCCACCACCTGAGGACGCCAAAGCCCCTGGCAGTGCTGCTTGGACCCCTTGAAAGTGCCATAGACCCCTGGATAGTCTCCGTAAGGAGGCCACTGACCTTGGGAGTGACCCTTGCGGGTATTAGCACCACCTGAGAGGGCCCCAGGGTGCCACTGCCTCGGAAGGGCCTCTGAGGGCCCTAGGATGTGCCACCGCATCTGGGAGGGCCCCTGAAGAGCCACCGCACTGGGAGGGCCCCTGGGGTTCCACCACCTGGCGCAGGCGCCCCTAAGAGGGCCTTTGAAAGACTCTAGGGTCCTAAGGGCTGGTTCCCCAGAGAGGGCCCCATAAGTACCACTGTCTCTGAGAGGGCCCCTGGGGTTTCTACTGCACCTAGAGGCCCCTGAGGGCGCCAATGCTCCTGGCCGGGCCGTTGGGAGTACCACCGCCTGGAAAGGCCCCTCGGGGTGTCACCGATCCTGGAGGGCCCTTAGGGATTCCACCGCCCTGGAAGGACCCTAGGATGCCAACTCCTGGGAGGGCCCCCAGGGTGCCACTGCCCTGGCAGGACCCCAGGGCACTACAACCCTGAGGGTCCCTGGGGCTGCCACTGCCCCTCGGAAGGCTCCTGAGGGCGCCGGCGCCTTTAAGAAGACCCTGGGGGTGTCACTGCCCCTCAGAGGGCCCCTAGTAGAGCCACCGCCCATGGCAAGCCTCTGAGGTGCCACCACAGGAAAGGCCCTGGGAGGACCCTGGGGTGCCACTGCCTCTGGATGGCGCCTGATGGTGCCACCGCCCCTTAGAGGCCCCTGGGGTGCTAACGCCCTGGGTAGGGCCCTGGGCTGCCACCGTCCCCTGGGAGGGCCCGTGTGAGACCGCCACCACCCCTACAGGGCCCCTGAAGGTGCCACTCCATTGGCACGGGCCCCCACGGGCGCAACCCCAAACTCTGGAGGGCCCCTGTTGGCCCTGTTGCTCTAGGAGGGCTTCTGGGGCGATTCCTGTCCCTGCAAAGCCACCAGGGGTGACGCTGCCCTGGAGAGGGTTCCTGGGGCCACTGCTATCCCTAGAACGAACCCCAGTGGCGCCGCCCTTGGAAGGGCCTCTGAGGGCGCCACCGCCCCCTGGGAGGGGCTCTGAGACCGTCTCCTGCCCCGTGGTGCTGCCTCCCATTGGCAGAGCCCTGCGTGTGCCACCTGGGGCACAAACCCCCTGAAAGGGCCCCCTGGGGCGCTGCCTTCTGGAAGGCCACTGCCCCTGGAAAGACCCCTGGTATCCTGCTGCCTCTGGAGGGACCCTGGGGTTCAAAGCCGGTGGGAGGGCTGCTGGGGGTGCCACCGCCCCTGGAAGGACCCTGGGGTGCCACTGCCCTCGTGTAGGGAGCCCAGTGGTGCCCCTGCCCCTGATAGGAAAACCTGGGGTGCTACTGTTCCTGGTAGGGCCCCTCCCTCCTGAGGGGTGTCACCCTCTGGAGGGCCCCTGAGATCGCCACCATCCTGGCAGGGCCCCTAGGGCTGCCACCCTCCATTGACAGGGCTCCCCTGGTGCCTAGGGCACAAATCCCCTGGGAGGCCCCTGCAGGCGCTGCCGTTCTGAACGAACCCTGAGGCGCCAACGCTCTGGAGGGTTCCTGAGACCACCATCGCACTGGCAGGGCCCTGAGGGTGCAACCTCCATTGGCAGGGCCCCTGCGCGTACCCCTGAGCGCACTCCTTCCCTTGTAGGCCCCTTGGAGGCTGCCGGCTCCTGGCAGGGACCCTGGGAACCCCTGCCCTGGGGTCGCTCGATGGAGAGCCCCTAGGGGTGCCACGGACCCTGAGCCGAACTGGGATGCTAACACTCCTGGAAGGGCCCCTGGGAGTGCCATTGCTCCTGGAAGGGCCTCCTGGGTGTGCTTACAAACACTGGGAGGGTCTCTGAGGATGCCACCGCCCGTTGAGGGCCTTTGAGGCTTTCGGGACAGAGTACCCTTACCGAAAGGCTGAAAAATCAAACTGAAGGGTACGGAATATGGGATAGAAGACTTCTTCATGACAGCAAGCAGTGTGTGGTGATTAGAGGCACGAAATCATCATCTGTACCTGTCACAAGCCGGGTACCACAGGGCAGTGTATTGGGCTCGTTGTTTGTTTGTTTCATAAATGACATGCCTGACGTTGTACACCTCCATACAAACGTTTGCCGATGACGCCAAGTTATTTGGAAATCAAGAACCGCAGACTGTGAAGAGCTGCAGAAGATCTCTGTGAGCTCCAAGAATGGTCGAAGAAATGTCTGCTGAGATTCATTGTCACGAAGTGTAAGAGGATGCACTAAAATTAACGTAAGGAGGCGTATCATATGTCCCAATGGGATAAAGAAACTGCACTATTTGAGACTGGATGTGAGAAGGACCTAGGTGTGTATGTTGACAATGAGCTGAAGTTCTCGTATAAGGGCGGGGTTTTTTCTTCTTATCCTTATATTCTTATTTCATACTTATTTCTTTGTCTTATTTCCTTCTATTTCTTCTGTCTAATTATTATTTCATCATATAGTTACTTGCAACCTCTGACCTTGATAGCATGGCGAGGGTTAGGCACATGGGTTCTGTAATTTGGTATCAAGTTATTGGACAAGAATAAAGGCAGATACTAGGGGAAATGATAATCTCTAATTTTCTCTAAACATGGTTTATTAATATGAAATTAAATTTGCTAAAGGTGTCATTAACATACAACTACAAGGTTTAACTCCTTGGCGTGTTACTCATCTGCAATTCTAATTAGACACTCTTGCTTCGTACATCATTACTGGTTGTACATTTAAGAGAACACACCACATGACAAGTTTACATATGGTACCTTCACTACAACTGTTGGTAGTACATGTGGAGGATGCACTCACATCACATGCAACTCGTTATTACTGCGGCTCATCAAGTTTTATGGGTTCACTACTCAACATGAGATAATTATATTTCGCTAATTATCCCCCATCACATATAGCAATACTGTGGCCCATATAACTGTAAGGTAACCTAGGTATAACACTGGGGTCTCCACACAAATGAAGATCGCTGTTATGGTCGGTTGTAGTCTGACCCCGGCGAGAGCCTAAATCAGTTCTGATGGACTTGAGCAGTTTAATCCTGCCGTAATTAACGACATCGTCCAATACAGCTAACTATTAGGTAGCTACAAACTCTGCAGCAGCCGGGTGGGGTATTCAGCTTGCAACAATATCAATACTGTGCCTGAGAGATAATGTTGGAGAACGTCAGGGAGAAGTAGGTGAAAATAACTCAATCACAAAAACAATCTTTCGTCTACTGAACAACACAATTTACATTTACGGTATAGTAATTCTTACACTGGGTAAATGACAATTTCACTGTTACAACATGAACACTGATGTTCACAAAATTCACTGAGTTAAACTGACTCAACATGGCGTTCGGGGAATCTTACACATACCTGAGATAACGTTGGAGAACGTCAGGAGTGATGCCCCTCCTGGCGCAGGAGCTTATATACGGCTAACTGGTAATCAACAAATGCCAGAAATGGCTACTCACGCAATGACAGAAATTATATTTAATTCTCAATTGCTGTACATTTAAATATGAAACTCAGTTGCCACAGGTCGACGAAATCGTCATCCGTGCATTCTGTCACAAGTGGGGTACCACAGGGCAGTGTATTGGGCCCGCTGTTGTTTGTTTGTTTTATAAATGACATGCCTGACGCCACACTCCTCCATACAAATGTTTGCCGATTACGCCAAGTTATTTCGGGAAATCAAGAACCAAGCAGACTGTGAAGAGCTGTAGAAGGACCTCTGTGGGCTCCAAGAATGGTCAGAAGAAATGGCTGCAGATTCAATGTCATCAAGTGTAAGGGGATGCACCCGGGGCGACTCAACCGTAAGGAGGCGTATCATATGTCCCAATGGGATAAAGAAACTGCACTTATTTGAGACTGAGGAGAAGGACCTGGTGTTTATGTTGACAATGAGCTGGAAGTTCTCGGCCATTGCAAGAAGAAGGTAAATCAGGCAAATAAATTATTGGGGTCTTATAAGAAGGTTGTGGGGTATGGTGTTGTTTGGTTCACACTCAGGATGGGATGGAGAAAGGAAACTCACAATGTGCTCTATATACATGCTGTATTGGATGTACAATGCAGTTTGTGTTGGAAGGCAGCATGGTTACAAGCGTGGATGTAGAGAGAGCTGGTTGGTGAGGACGCCAGAGAAGGACAGCTTGTGGGTCGCCATGCTCACAGCGGAGAGAGTGGACCGCCAGGCAGGCGGAGGGAGCTGGGACCGCCAGGCAGGCGGAGGTGTTAAGCTGGCTGGTTGGTGTGGTAGAAAGAGAGACAGATCACCACGAGGTCAGGTCTTTAAATAGCGGGGTAGGCGTATTTAGCAGTTGACCCTGCTCCGGTGGTGTATGGCGGCGCTGGCTGACCCAGACCACTAGGGCATACACTGGGAATTGGTGGGGTCGGCTAGGCAGCGATAAACAGCGTTTGTAATTCCACTCACAATACTCCCCTTCCTCCAGGTTGTGTAGGGAGACTTGTTGCACTGCAGGCTTGCATAGCACATGTGAGGCAGAACGGGCGGTGCGTGGCCTTCATGTGAGACAACGGCGATGGCGTGATGAGCTGGTCGCTGGAGACAACTGTCTAGATACACAACATCTGTGGGAGTAGAGAGGGAGAATAAGGTGTGTGGAGGCGATGAATTTTGTGCTTCCTTCACGGCAGGTACCGAGTCGTCAGGATGCGCCTCTGCTGGGGTGTGTGGGCCTGGGTCAGGGAGGCAGGCTGCGCCAGCAGAAACGATGAGGGCTCGTGACAGCAGCTGGGTCCAATTTACAGCAGCAGTGCAGGACATTAGCAGGGAGTACCTGGGAGAAAAAGAGGGTGTGTGTGTCCGCACTAGAACAGAGGCCGCATCAAGGGCGGCAGGGGTTACTGCTGGGCCGGGGTCGGCGTCTGAGGCAGGACGGTGTGCTGGGGTCGGTAGATGGTGCTTAGGCAGGAAGAGGGAGCTGGTGTCTGCTTAGAGTAGCAGAGCTGCTCTTAGGGGTGTCTTAACCCAGGTGTAGAGACAGTAGCTGTAGAGCCGATGAGCTGCTTCTGGTGGATAAGCCAGTCTCCATGTTGCTTGAAGACTGGGAGCGGATTGCTTCTCCTCCATCCTGTGAGTGCGAATCTCCGGGAGTCACCATTTGTGGGGTATGGTGTTGTTTGTCTACACTCAGGATGGATGGAGTAGGAACCACAATGTGCTCTCTATATACATGTTGTATTGGATGTACAATGCAGCTTGGTGCTGGGAAGGCAGCATGGTTACAAGCGTGATGTAGAGAGAGCTGGTTGGTGAGGACGCTCAGAGAAGGACAGCTTGTGGGTCGCCATGCTCGCCAGCGGGAGAGAGGACCGCCAGGCATGCGGAGGAGCGAGGACCGCCAGGCAGGCGGAGGTGTTGCTGGCTGGTTGGTGTAGGTAGAAAGAGAGACAGATCACCACGAGGTCAGGTCTTAAATAGCGGGGGTAGGCGTGGCTTAGCAGTTGACCCCCGCTCCGTGGTGTATGGCGGCGCTGGTTGACCTAGACCACGAGGCATACACTGGGGAATTGGTGGGGTCGGCTAGGCAGCGACAAACAGCGTTTGTAGGGGAGAATTCCACTACAAGGTCGTTCAAATATCTAGACGGTCCGTCCCTCATTACGATCTTCAGGAGTGAAGTGCTTCCCCATCTGGAGTACTGTCACCCCGTCTGGTCTCCGAGATATGCTTGGGGCTGTCAGTTGATTGAAAATGTTCAAAGGAGGGCCACCAGACTGGTGCCTGCACTTTGGCACCTCAGCTACCCTGAGAGATTGGAGTGCCAGAACTTGCATAGCTTATACTACAGACGGTCAAGGGGTGACCTAGTTGAGGTGTAAAAGCATCTCAAGGTGCACTACTCAGTCGAGTGTCCTTAGTTGGAGCTGGCGGACGCTCGCCCCACAAGGGGTCACAGTTCAAGATTGAAGAAGCAGCAAGTCCAGAAAACTGTGAGGGCAAACTTTTTCAAAGTGAGGGTTGTAAACTCTTGGAACAATCTACCAGAAAGTGTTGTGACGGCACCGAGCGTGAGCTCTTTCAAGACAAGACTTGACCAACACTGGAGCGGGTTCAGGTACATTCAGGAGTCGGTGCATGCCCAGTACTTGCCAACAGTGAGTGATAGAGACGTGACCGATTGCCCGGGCGGCTAGCGAGCCGATCTTTTGGTGAAGAGGATAAAAGAAAAGGAAAAGTAATCAGAGACGTGACCAATCGTCCAAGCGGCTAACGAGCAGATCAGTGGTGAAGAGGATAAAAGTATGAGCAAGAAAATAAATAAATAAGAATATAAGAAAGAAGAATATAAAGAATATAAATATATTGAAGAATAAAAGAAAAGAAATACATGAAATGGAATAAATCTGAAGGATAGTATAAAATAAGGAAAGTTACGCCCTTACACTGTCACCCCGTCTGGTCCCTGAGATATGCTGGGGACTGTCAGTTGGTTGAAAATGTTCAAAGGAGTGCCACCAGACTGGTGCCTGCAATTCCGGCACTTCAACTCCCCAGAGAGATTGGAGCGCCTGAACTTGCCTAGCTTATAACACAGACGGGCAAGGTGCGACCTAATTGATGTGTATAAGCATCTCAAGGGGCACTACACAGTCGAGTGTCCTTACTTGGAGCTGGCGGACGCTCGTCCCACAAGGGGTCACAACTCAAGATTGAAAAAGTCGCAGGTCCAGAAAACTGTGAGGGCAAATTTTTTCGGAGTGAGAGTTGTGAACTCTTGGAACAATCTACCAGAAAGTGTTGTGACAGCACCGAGTATGAGCTCTTTCAAGACCTGACTTGACCAACACTGGAGCGGGTTCAGTTACATTCAGGAGCCAGTGCATGCCCAGTACTTGCCAACAGTGCGTGAGAGAGACGTGACCGATCGCCCAGGCGGCTAACGAGCCGATCAGTGGTGAAGAGGATAAAAGTGAAAGTAAAAGTACATAATCTTCGAAATAAAATATACTGAAATACATGGTCATTTGTTGCAAGACTGCTTGCGGTCATGTAGAAAGTCTTTTATCCACGCGAGGACATTTCCCAGAATTCCGTACCCTTTCAGTTTAATTTTCAGCCTTTCATGGGGTTACACTGTCTAAAGTCTTGGCACCCTGTTCCAGAATATGGGTCCAAATATTCAGTACCTTGAGTAATTGTGTTAAGCAGGAGCACCCCGGGGTAAATCCTTGACCTAAGGTCCAACCGCAGTGAGCCACCCAGGACTACCAAGTACTGTCCGAGCAAAACAATGTTTTGAACACCAAACACAACTACAGAAGGCTTAAGAATGAACAAGCACAACATCAAGATTGGAACAGGGAATGTAAGGACATTATATTAGGCTGGTAATTATACAAATGTTTGTAAGGAGATGAAATGATTGTAGTGGAACATTCTGGCATTAGGTGAAATAAGATGGACAGGTTCAAATAACATTAGTGGTGAAGATTTTTACTTCATACATTCAGTTGGTGAAACACACACACACACACACACATATATATATATATATATATATATACATATATATATATATATATATATATATATATATATATATATATATATATATATATATATATATATATATATATATATATATATATATATATATATATATATATATATATACACCTAGGAAACTTTGATACAAAAAGGTAATTTTTGAGGGCTCATCTAGGGAAGTTTGGCAGAAGAGGACTCAGAGGAACTGGCAACACTGGGTGTGACTGGAAGTTGAGAGAAGAACTGGCACAATGGCCACAACAACAAACGCTGCAGGCTGCTCTTCGTCTTCTGTTTTACCTCCATAACATATAATGGTATCACCCTACATATCGATAAGGTATATATACACTGACATCAGTAATGAATTATTGAATAGATGAAGTATTGGTAAATGTATATTACAGTAAGTATCAGAAATAATGGGTCAAACCTAGTTGCTAGTTGAAGCCATTTAGGGAAACTAATGAAATTATTTTATCAAGTTTTATTTTCTGTCTCTTGTTGATAAGATTCTTGTGTGTTTATATACTATGTGATGTAACACTGGGTAATGTGTCCATTGATAACAAGAAAAGTGCTCGTGTGACCCAGGAGATGAACAATATGGGCCGTCTGAGGGGGAAAGGCAAACATCTCATGAGCAATGTTAGAGGAGCAAGGAAATGTCAGTATGAAAATAATGTAATAGTCACAGAAATAAAAATAAAGGTAAATTTGCACTTCCACCTCCCACTCTGTTAGAAAGTCAAAAATATATTTTTCTAGTGTATTTGTGTGTGTTTAGACCGAATATGACCTTCATTTCTGGTAAAAATTAGTGTTTTTTTCGAATTTTTTTCGTTGGACGTTTTCTGGAAAAAAATCATGGCAAAATACACCAAAAACACTAGAAAAACCAAAACCAAACCTAACCTAACATAACTGACTCTCACCATATGATGGAATCACCTATTTCTTACCTTATTGGACTGGTTCTTGTTCGTCGTTGGATTCTGAGATTCTTACACAACGCCACATATGTTGTTCCTTGCGTTATTTACATTCAGCCTTGCACTTAAGACACTTTACTGAGGTTGGAAGAACACCATGCGATCGAAAAAATTCTATAGTTTCTTTGTTTTTTCCCCAAAACTCTCAATCAGCTCCATATAATTGAAGTGACACCCATTGCAGACTTCCATGGTTGGAAATGAAGTTGAATTCCGAAATATGAGACCCAAAATAAAAATCGATTTTGATTGGGCCAAAAATAAAGCGCATTAAACCACAAATCATTTTAATCGGTTGGGAAAAAAACACTTTGGGTTGGTCGCTTGACGTGTACGGGAACGCCTGCACGTGACGATTAATCAAGGTGACACGCAGGAGACACGCAGTGTGAGAGGTGAGGTAGGTGATAATGGCGGAAGATTAATGGAAGAAAATAGAGAAAATTTTGGATATGCCATCTCCGTTATTATACATCTGCGACGGTAATGTAATAGATGAAAATGATCTTATAATTAGACGTCTTATTAGAATATGATAATAGATTAGTGGTAGGAATGTGGATTGTTTAAACTCAAAAATACCAAAATAAAAGTTTTCAAAGGTGTACGTATGCAAAATACAAATAAGAAAAAGGTTAATATTTAGAAGTTGGGTAAATTGCAGGTGTAATGTAATAGATGAAATGATCTTATAATTAGGCGTCTTATTAGAATATGATAATAGATTGAGTGGTAGGGTTGTGGATTGTTTTGTAAAATACCAAATAAAAGTTTTCAAAAGGTGTCACATTAGCCAAAATACAAATAAGAAAAAGGTTAATGTTATAGAAGTTGGGTAAATTTTTACAAGTATGGACAATCATATTTTTTTCGATGGTTTGAACAATGTTAAGACCTTCTATTTCGGTAAATTATTACTTTAGGACATAAATCCCTTAGGGGTTGACCAATATGTTTTCCCAGTGTACCTTGGTGTGTTATAAACAAATCACCTTCATTTTTGGCGGAAATTGCTGGTTTGCCCCAACTCCCCATCAATAATGGGGGAGAGCCTGAAAATGAGTTTTTTGGTGAGGGAGAAAAGGAGTCATCTGACCTAACAAAGCCTAACCTAACTCCTGTGGACTCCTGTCCCCAGACTCGATAAGCCCTAACCCTGACTCCTAGCGATGAGGCCTAAGCAACAGACCCTAAATGTTTCAGTGAATTCTAAAAACTTTTGGGGTGCATGTGTCAGAGCTTCTAATGCATAGTTAGAACTGGAAGGACCAGGATCGTAAGAATTGGATAGAATGATAGGTCTCTCGTAAAACGGCAATAAGCTTAAAATAATCCTTAGGAGCACAAAGCGGATAATATCACCAAAGGCCATTTAGCAAGAGACTGAGTGGGTAAATTACTCAAGCTGCATCCTTTGAAAAAATCAGATGTGATGATTGGTTGAAAAAAATTCAATGAAGATACTCGATACCTCATTGGACATATGACTAAGATTTGATCGGTCAACATTGAGCATGCTTAGTGTGCCGATAGCATCTTCACAGACAAGGACAGAAATTATTAAAATAATTGAATTCAATTGTGTCGCTATTATCTATTTCCGCCTGTTGCTTTATTATATGGGATTCAAATGGTCAGAATCGCGAGATGTAAATGTTTCAGTAGTTTACTGCTTTCTGGGGCATTATGTCAAAGTAAAAATAATACCGACTTTTCCCTCTAGAAGTGACAAATGCTGGGGACCTGGGGGGCCAAGTTACAGAGTTAGGTTAAGTAATTTTAAATCATTTGCGAGAAGCGTCATAGAACAAAGTTTAAGCCATCGGAAGAACACATTGATCAACAAAAAATCCATGCCTGTCCACTTGTAAAAATTGCAAGTTGCCTACCTAATAGATAATAAGTCATATGGGATAGAAAAAATATAAATAATTTATTCAACATTTCTGTCTGATTTTTTGGTTTTTGGTTATTTAACTTTTATTTTACTAATATTTGGCCGACAAAACATTAGCAAAACCTAACCTATAATCTAACCTAACCCTGGCCTAGTGTAAGAAATTTACCTTTAGTAAGAGATACAGGAGGATAGAGAGTGATGTGACTTGAATGAGAGTAGTGTCTTGTCTGTCTCTTATCACAGTACCATGTGAAAGTGATCTACAAGTACTAACAAGATTACATCTTGGATGCTTACAGATGAAACAAGGCACTCTGAACCTAAAATGACATTGGCTGTTGGCCCCATTGTCCAAAATGTCTGTATGCAGGAATAATGCCAGCAGCCAATGTATCCATCTCATGAGCGCCATCTTCAACTGCCTGTTAGTGCAGTTAGCACCACCCGGGTATTATATCATCAGCATTCCGCGGTAGCCAAATATTATCCTTTTTCCTTTTTCCTTTATCCTCTTCTGCCACTGGTCATTTCGTTAGCCACTTGGGCAACTACTGAGCATGCGCAGCTCCCTGAATATATGAACCTGCTCCAGTGTTGGTCAAGTCTGGTCTTGAAAGGAGCTCACCTTTCGTTGCCGTCACAACCTCTGGCAGATTGTGCCAAGAGTTTCAACTCTCACTCAGAAAAATTACCCTCTACAATTTTTGATCACGCTAGAACATTTCCCGAATTCCACTTCACCCTTCCAGTTTAATTTTCCAGCCTTTTTCGTGGTGTTCTGTTGAAAGCCTTGGCAAAATCTAGGTATAAATTGTCGATATTACCCCGTTCCCAGAATTTAATCCAACATCCATTACTGTGGTAATAGTGTTAAGCATAAAACCGTGTTGGCAATCCTTTACAAGGTTGTTTACGTGGAATTGTTTGCCATTGGCATCTCTTATAATGCTCTGAATTACTTTTCGTATTATGCTGGTCAGTACCCAGTCTATGATTGTTCATTGGTGTGATGTATCTTGAAGTTAGGACTCTCATGAAGCCATTTTCCAGTCACTGGGGACCTTTTTTGCTCATCTAGGCATTTACGAACAAATTTTCGGGGCTCAACAAGTTTGTTGCAGAACTCACTTAGCCTCAGCCTTCTTGATGTTACTCAAATGAGACGAATTTAAGCCCAGAACCGATTACTGTGTTGGCGGACTAAATTTTTTTCACCATCTGTGAGCAAAAGCTTGAGAAACATGTTGAGAAAGATTACGTGAGGTCGTTAACCCGAATACCGTTAACGAATTGAAGATTCTTATCGAAGGTAATTCGTTGTGAGCGTTAGATTGTAGGGGATCTTTCATAGATACATTATTTTATATTTTCTCTATCTCACCATATATGACTCAATATTCAGTTAGCTGGTGGCAACCTAAATATTAACGAGAAAAACTTTAATTCTAACTCCAGATTTGAGATTAAGTGTAAATAAACCTTGCTTTTATAGTTGAAAACTTGAGATGTATGTACAGTACATATATATAGAATCGTTGTGTTGAGCTGAAGGTTAGAGTAAATGGTGCGGGCCAGATACTTTAGTACAGTAATATTTATAACTAAACAGGATACAGGACATAATCCACCAATAAATTATATAATTCCAGGACATATATATAAATCCCTATGCATTTAACCCCCCCTCACTTCTGGCGGCCCCATTCCGCGTTTCACGTTCTGCTTGATGCCTACGGAACCGGTCTCCCATTCCTTGGTCGTGTGTGCCTTCGTGGAGTAGCTGGCGAGCAGCACCATTTTAGATCCAAACCTCCCATATCCGCCATGTTGCCTTGTAAGCTCTTGCGAACATAGATGCGCACAAAATCATGATCATCAAAAACATTGCAGTTCATACCCATATTACCCACCACAGCCCGGCCCAAGTCAGTGATAGTGATAATTATGGTGAGGATATGGACTTATATGGACTTTGGGGAGTTTGACCAAGAGGCCTACAAGCACCTCTGTGGTGGATAGTATTTAATTGATACATTGACACAGGTGAGGGTAATAATCTGCCCTCTCAGAGACAACCCCCCCATCCGTGTGCCCAGCCATTTTTTCTACTAATGTAAGTGTTAAAAAAACCTAATATTATTGATATTTCTCTTAATTATTAATTGTGTGTGCATACCATCCTTAAAGTTAAGATAATATTTTTACTAACATAGTTGTGTGTAAGTCAAAAGTGGAATTTGAGGATCAGCCCGGACTCCATTCAATTAATCCCATATGTTGTGTTATTCGCTACGCATTTCTCCTTTCTGTGCGGGACCCTCCAGATTTACATTAACAAGCGTAAAGTGAGGTTACTAATATACAAAAATAGTCCAGGAGTAAAAGCAGAATAGTCATATATCTTAAAGAACTATTAACAGGTAGTGAAGGTTGCATTATGGTGCTGGATTAAATGTGAGGATGAAAATTTGCTGGAGTTATTAACAGAAAGACGGTAGAGGCAGGATGAGCGATAAATAATTGCAGATGATGGGGCATCAAATGTGCGAAACTTAATGTGTTGGAGATTTTAATTTACCCCATAACTGAACACTCATTGTTAATGATATTGAAAACTCTTTTCCAAGTGTACAGTATTTGGGATCTGTTAGGGACTTACAATAAAACACATCATTGGGAAAACAGGAAAAAGACCCAGTGTGCTGGATCTACTTATGAATGTAAATGTTGAGTATTAAATATTGAATGAGGAGCCACTAGTAGCCATATGACACTGGCATGTTGTGAGATTCAGTTATGATTTCAGCAATGGTAGATTCAAGAGCTCAGGAATGCTTTTGAGTTCAGGATTGGACTGAAATGTATGACTTAAATATTCTCTTATTGATGAAAGAGTGGAAGATTTTCGGTAATAATATGTTGAATACTGTATTATAATCAATAAATACCGAAAGAGTGTTAGATTATGCTAATAAGGCGATAATGTGGTGGAACAAGTGGGTGACAAACAGTTAAAAAAAGGCACTGTATAGAGTGAGGTTGATGGTATTGAGCAAGTGCAGAAACCTTGAATTGTACCATCACTGTTGATCTGTCTTATAATGAAAGACTGGTAAAATTGGTATTAACCACTTTGGAAGGAGGTAGGAGACTTAATTGAGCTATACAAGATAATGGATGATTATGAAAATATGAGTGAGTTTAAACCTGAATATATCAAGGAAACTTGAGAGGACACAAACACAAAAGAAAAGAACAAACAAAGAAAAAAGAGATATGTTCAGCAGACAGTGGACAAATGGAATAATCTGGATCAGTGGGTAGTTCAAGCATCCGTTAACCAGTTCGAGAGCGCCTCAATAAGTCAGCATAGATGTGGGCAGGGCTGCAATGATCCAGCGGGGAATCTTCTCAGGATACTACTACTTTGAGTCCTGTGCTGCATTGTTATCCCAAGGCATATTTTATTATAATTTTTTGCAGACTATAACTTAGTTATTTCCAAGGTAGAGATATTATTTGCCTCTCACCTTCGAGGAATTTTATGGTTGAATCGGTTGTTGATAATTCTAAGACTTTTCTTCAATAGCATTTTGGGTGCAAATACGTTTAAATTGGGAGTATTTAACATTTGTTTGTTATGTTAAATGCGTGCGGTACACACAGAACATGAATGACTGGGTAGCTCCCCATTTAGAGTAAGTTAAGATTGATTAGGGTTTGTTTCTAATGGTTTTCAATATTGTGTTTTTGAACACTTTTTCCTTGATATTTTTTTAAATCTCTACAGGTGCTCCTCTACATAGAATGATCAACTTTAAACTTTCAGAGATACAAACATCATCACTGGGGGTTACCTGCCTAGAACAGGTTGTTTAATGTGGATGAGACTGGATTATTTTGAAAAAAATTTCAGATAAACAAACAGTTACCTCAGAGGAGAAAGTAGACCCAGGTTTCAAGGCTGTATTAAAGGCTGGTCGGCCCTTAACATCTGGCAGTGTTTCTTATAGAGATAGCCGTGGATGTTAAAATCCTTGTATATACTCCCCTAAAAAACCTATTTTACCATGTTTATTTATATATTTGTGTGTAGTTCAAGTTTTTAAGGCCAAATTATTTGGCAAAAATTGAAGTTCGACCTCTAAAAGGGTAATAGTTTCGTTAGGTTGAAAAATATTTACCAGTGAAGTACCAGTAAACAATGGAAGCGATGCAACGCACCACCAGCTGTGGTGTGGGTACAGTTGCCGGGGCAGATCTCTTCGAATCATCATAACAAGCCCAAAGTAGAATCCATGGTATGGTAGCACAGAACGTATAAAACATAAGTATTAATTTTTAAAGTTTATTTATAGATACTGGACATAAATTTTGTTCATTGGAAACCTCAATCTTTGTTAATTAAATTTGAAACAAAACTACGATACCATTTCATTAAAATATTACATCACAAGTATATTTTACCTTAACTGTGACTGAGATGAATATCATATTCTCAGAAATAATGTAAATGTAATATTTTGGCTGAAATGGCGTACATATTACAAACACGCCTCGGTGTGCCTCGTTGATATTTAACCCAATGAATATACGAACTAGCAAACCAAGACCTTACCTTAGTGTGTAATTTGGATTAAAATATGTGTTTATCTGACAATATACGAAAATGTTCAGGTGAACATGAAAATAAAGTAAAGATTGGTTAACTCATTGGTGACGAGCGGCGGAGCACTGCCCTCAGTACCCTCCGTTCTACCGTCACCTCAGGTGCCATGCCCGGCAGCCATTATCCCTATGAGCGTCCCAACAGGTGGTGACTACTCCCAGCTATGCTAATCCTCTGTGAACCGGTGGATATCCAACACCACTCCAAATGAGTAAGAACAAATAAGGAAACGCTTGAGAAACTCTGCGGTCGTCTCTGGGTGAAGCCCTCGTCTTTACCCACCGAGGGCGGTGTGCGAACGAGGTGCCTGTTGTGTATACCTTAAAGTCACAAGGAGTTCCATACCTGCAGGTGTGGAGGGTAACGGGTGTGTTGAGAGGGTGCTACTATGTATGATAACCGACGGTGCTATATTCCATACAGGTGGAGCAGTCTGATGTGTTAAGGGATAGTGTAAGAAGGAATGACCGAGGTAAGGTGGTCACACATTGTTATGCAATAAGTATGTGGATGACACGCCATTAATGTAAGACGTCTGGTGCCCATCTGGGTAACCAACATTTTCGTTGTTCTTCCGAGGAAGACCAATTCATTTGTATGTTTTTTACCAGTATGCTTTATAAGGAATAATTTAATTAAGACATGTTATGGTTTCACCCTTCTTTCCCCTTATCGATCTGGCCAGTGGAAAACCTATCCCAATGCCTAGTCCACTCTGCACGCTACCTAACGAGCTACATGCTGTCCAGAGGGGGTCTGGTGGCAGCGACCCTTAGAAATTAAGATTAGAGTTAAGTATTCCCCCTTAGCATTAGTGACCCCCCAGTCTGGCGGTATATAATGACCTTTGAAATAAGTAAAGATATTTAAAATATTTAAGAAGTCAATTCTGCTGTGCCCCATTACAGTATAAAAATTCTCTATATCATTACTCCTCAACAAATTTGTGTCCATTTCTTCCCATGTTGCCGTACATTTATGTTTAGAAGTAAATTCATCTACCAGACACGAGTACAGTATCACCTTTGCAGCTGTCAGATGTGCATTCCAGTTAACGTCCTTCTACCTTGGTGTTTGTCTGGTAACTGAAGGTGAAATATGGCTTGTGACTGTTCCAGGATACTTGAGACAGGGTGGGAAGAATCATGATGTATCTCATACTTGCATAGGACTCCATTGGACTGAAACAGTTAAGAGGATATTCATGCCAAGAAGTGATGTTTGACCCCACCAGGCTAGAAGGGTTGGACGACTGAGAGACCCATGTATGATTGAGAACTAGTTGTTAAGTCAGCTGTTGTCAAAGTGTAACAAGATGGTTCTCTTCTAGAGCTGCAGTGAGCTCTTGTACTCGACAAGCATTGGTTCGCCTCTCATTTTTTAAATGGGATTTCAAGATCATTCCCAGATTTTCATTTCCATTTTTTAGTCCATATATTTTCTACCATATTGTTTTTACTATTAAGACTATCAATGATATACTGTGCGGTAGTTTGTACCTGTGGGTGGGGGGGGGCGGAGTTGTATTTCCTCACCTTTGCTGCTGGATGTTATTGATGTTGTGATGGTTTCCAAACTTAATTTTCTTGTACCCATCAACACAATATTGCATAGATCCCTTGTTCCTAGGTATAGGAATTTGCTATTTGATTTTGGGTTGAGTGTGTCAGAGGTGAAGGTTAATGTATAGCTGGCCGAGAGGACTATGTGAAGGTTGTGACTATTTTTATCTTAAGTTTTTTAATGTTATTGTAGTCATTTTTAGGATTATTTCACTGATATGTTTTTCTTTCTTTCCCACAGATATGAATTGGACAGTGGAAAAAGATGAAGTAGATTGTGAGAACATTGTTGGGCACAGTTGTAGAGAACAGTGTGCAAGACAAGTATTACCAACTGAAGGAAAGAATTCTAAGTATACAAGAAATTATTCAATGTTGAAATAATTAAAAACTTGTGTGCAAATTCACCCCCTCATAATACTTTTGTCACTTGTAGTAATATTTAACCAGCCATCACAAGTAGTGTACTTGTAGTATATCAGCCTGAGTATCATCAGAGGAACTGTACATATAACAAGAGTATATAATTTTTGTACTCTTCCCTGTTGAGTGTTACTATAGTGTATGTTGTAAGTCAAAAACAGTGTTTGTTAATTTATATATTAATGACAACTAAAGTTATTTGTGTAACTCATTCTTTACACTATTTTTCACATTTAATCAAAGAGGTATTGAGGAACCTTATTAATAATGGTGTAGTCACATCACAAACTGGATCTTCCATCACACTTGCCTCCCCACTGTCCACCCATCTCAGCATCAATACATCAGTGTCAGTAAATTACATTCACTAATAGATTTGTTTCAGTTGTGTTTGTTGTTTTTCAAATATAATTAACAGTAACAAGATATTAATAGCTCCTGTAGGAGGAAACCATTTCCCAGTTCAGAGTCACTAAAACCTTTGAACACAATACACACAGTTTTATAATGGAAGGTCACTCAGAGGAACAGTCGGAGTCTCCCAGAGAATTGTCTGTAAATTCACATCAGGTAACAAATTTGAAAGATGACTTACACCAGAAACTGTTTGCGTGTCCAGAATGTCAAAAAGGTTTTCCACAAAAATATAAATTAAATTACCATATGAGAATTCATACAGGAGAGAAATCATATCAATGTTCTGAGTGTCTGACAGACTTTGCCCGAAGAGGTACTTTAGCTGCACATATGAGAATTCATACGGGAGAGAAACCTTATCAGTGTTCTCTGTGTCTGAATGATTTTGCCCGAAAAAGTCATTTAGTCACACACATGAGAAGTCATACGGGAGAGAAACCTTATCAGTGTTCTGTGTGTCTGAAAGACTTCGCACTTAAATCTTCTTTAGTTGCACACATGAGAAGTCATACAGGAGAGAAACCTTTTCAGTGTTCTGTGTGTCTGAAAGACTTTGCACATAAATCTTCTCTATATGTACACATAAAAAGTCATACAGGAGAGAAACCATATCAGTGTTTTTTGTGTCTGAAAGACTTCTTACATAAATCTTCTTTAGACGCACATATGGGAAGTCATAGAAAAGAGAAACCACATCAGTGTCCAGAATGTTTGAAGGACTTTCAAGATAAATCTAATCTCAAAAGACATATGAGAATTCATACAGGAGAGAAACCATTCCAGTGTTCAGAATGTCATAGAGGATTCTCTGAAAAACGTTCTGTAGTAAAACACATGAAAGTTCACAAAGTAAAACCCTTTCACTGTGTAAGATGCAAGAAAGTCTTTAAGGAGAAAGAGAGTTTAACATTACATACAGAGAGATGTTCCCAGATTCACCAAGTGCCTAACTCACATTTTAATGAAGGTGAAAGCTGCCAGGATTTCCACCATGACTTGAGCTTGTCATCCCAACCAACAGTGGAGATGGGTGTTTCTGAAGGAGTGAAAAAGTGTGTTTCTGAAGGAGTGAAAATGGAAACTAATTGTGATCCACTCTCAGAAGCTTCACCAGGGCCTGAGATAATTGATCAATCATCTTTAAAGATGGAGTGCCAGGAACAAGCAGTTTATATTAAGGAAGAATTTTGAAGTTGTTTTTGTTGAATACACTGTATTGTACTTGTGCTACTGATATTCTTATTAGACTGAACTTCATGTTATGTACATTTTGTGAATAAAATCGTTACATTTTATGATTGAAACAAAAAGATATAAAATTGAAACCTTTTGAAATCCCAAACATGACTTGTGGGCACATTGGTGGCAGTCATTTCCCTACCCAAGTGCAGGTCTCTGGCAACTGTACAGGTACAGTACCTTTTTTTTTATGCAAAAGTTCTGTTTATGTAATTTTGTAATACAGTAGAACCTCCTTATTTCTAACTGCTCTTACAAACTTTGCTTAATCAAATGAATTTCAAATTCAAACAGATTGTTCAACATATATCCTTAGTGAAACATGGCCTTTGTTATGCTATATGTTTCATATGCCAAAAATAAACAAAATCTGTATAATAAAAAATAAAAATGATACATAGTGCATCATAAAATACAGTAACATATTATTTCTACTACCAAAAAAAATCTACTATAATGTGTACATCACTTCCTCTTTCTTCACAGTCATTCAAAATTTGAGTACTGATCTGAGGCTCAGGCTTTCTAGACCTCCTCCTCCTCCTCCTCCTCCTCCCCCCCAGCAAATGCATAACATGGCTATTTTCTGTCTCAAGTCGTCGTTCTTCAATATTGAGCCATGGTCCAACTCTCACCTGTGACTGTTGGGAGAAATGTGGGATAGCCTCCTTTTGCCTGTGTCTCCTCGAACATAGCTGGAATTTGAGCCTGTCCAAATTATATTGGCCTTGTTTAGAAGAAAAGAAAAAATACTACAACACCACCGACAAAGCTATTTAGTAATTTATGCAAGGCCATTAACGTATTCGTCTGTATTATGTTTGCATATACGTCATTTTCTCGATTTAACTGGTAATACTACGACTAAGTTTAGTCTCGCCACAAGATGTGTCAACTGCATATTTAAGACACATTAGCTACTGTCATCCATTCTATTAATTGTGTTCAACTATGGTGTTCCCCTTCCACAACATGGCCTAAAAGAATCACAGTCACACAATGACTTAACAGCGTCGCCCATGAAATCACTACCGTATAAGAGCGAGTGAGTCAGCTGTGTACTCTTCATTGCAATGAAGCAACAAAATATAATAAGTTCACATTTAAATAGGTGTGGAGTCAATCTTTGTGGAGAAGTGAGAAAGTATAGTAGCTGAATGAGGCAAGCTACAAATTACAATAATGAATACAGTACTGAATATCAATGCATAACACAATCAAATATGAATACAGTCTCTCCTCGACTTACGACGGCCCTGTCTCCTCATCTGCTTCATCCAATTAATGTTGTCTCCATGCTTAATTAAAAAAATTATTGAGGCCCCGTGTGCATTCAGCTGACTGCATTAAAGGTAAGTGCACAGTAACACTTATTGATCACTTTCAAACCCAACCACAGTGGTCGTCTTCTCATGTTTGTGGCTCAGGGAGGAGAACACTTTACCACCATCTAAGGAGGAAAGGTGGAATAACTAAGTATTTACTGAAAGGGGGAGCATTGGGCAGATATCCAAAAGAACTAATCAGTAAGGTCTCAGAATTTTAAGTGCTTGGAATATTAAAACAAAATCGACACCAAAACAAACAACAGCTAAAAGTGGAGGACTTATCCAGATATCCATACTTATAACAGATCAACATTAAACCTTGTCATCACTGATTTATGGTTATTTCTATTCCCGTGTGGGTTAACCATGATTATCTGCACTTTAGAGCATGCTTAACTCTATGTGGTTACCATATAATAAACCTAGATCCCTCCCCCCCTGGTTACTAAAAAGTTAATTTGTTTGTTTTTTATGTAAAAGGTAGATAATGTTTAAAATCAAGTAAAACGGGTAGAAATTAGCAACTCGAGTGACTGTTTCCACAGGAACCAGCCTCGGCCTTTTAAATGAAAACTTGGCAGGATGTCGTGTGTCCCAAGAGACATTTCACACTTGGCATTTATTTAACACCACTTTATTTTATTATTTCCACTTTCCTTTTTGACTGGACTTGTGAGTAATATAATACTACATGTGTGCACGAGTGAGGCCTCGTGCTGCACAGCAAACATACCACTTGTGACTCAGACATCACAGACATAAAGAAATTTTTTTTACATAATTCTACATGTATTTTATTATGTATTGTATTGTATTCAAATATGGAGATACAGTAGTATTCAATGAGGAACTTTTCCGGAGTCGGCACATGACATAATTATGGTACTGTATCAGTGTAAGGCACAAATTTATACGGTAAAGTTTAAAACCTATCTATACGGTATCTATACCCCTCCTCCACGCCTTCCATACCCACACCCCTCCCCCACGCTCTCCATACCAACACCCCTCCCCCACACCCTCCATACCCACACCCCAGCCCCCACGCCCTCCATACCCACACCCCTCCTCCACGCCCTCAATAGTGGGAGCTTGACGCTGGCCTCGCCAGAGGTAGGTCTACTGCTCCTGGAGAGGACAGAGTCACCTACAACATCGTTAGACTTCTAAGGCGTGTGCCAGACAATCCATTATTGCCATTGTACAATATGAGTCATGCCGAGGGCCAAATACCCACATCATGGACCAGCAGTATTGTTGTACCATTACCGAAACCAGGACAGTCTGATGCTTTTCGTCCCATATCACTAACCAGCTGCCTGTGTAAAACCTTTGAGTGGATGGTTCTTGGCAGACTCTTATATAGAATCAGAGAACACATGGTGTACATAATTGCATCACCACATTCCTAACTGTGCATGGTGATGAAAGGCACAGATACACCACATTTCTTGACCTAAAAGCTGCATTTGATATTGCAAATAGGCAACTGATATTGCACGAACTAACCAAAATGGATATAGGAGGTAGGCTGTTACACTGGATAAGTGGTTACCTAACCAACAGAAGGGCTGCTGCACTGTTTCAGGGTTTCAAAAGTGAAGTTAAAGATATGCAACTTGGTACCGCTCAAGGTGGAGTACTTAGCCCCTCTTTGTTCAATGTTCTTATGAATGCGTTATTAAATTTAATACCAGACAACCCCAGCAATATCACAATCAGCTATTCTGATGATATTCTTATACACACTAAAACTCATCGTGAAATGCAAACCACCCTGAATCATGTACAGTACATGCAGTCTGTGAGAACCTCGGTCTTATTATCCCCACTGAGAAAACTAAGGTATTCAACAAACAAGCTGGTAACCTCAAACGCGATCCCGCCAAGTTCAAAATAGGTAACAACATTATTGACTATGTTTCTTTTAAATATTTTGGTGTCTCCGTCCCTTGTACCTTCCTGCCATACAACAGCTAACCCTCTTAGAAGTGTAGCAGCTGAAACCTCTTAGAAGTGTAGCAGGGTACAGCCCGCACTATGGTGCTAATATTAGAATTGTTAAAACAATGTACCTAAGCTATATAAGATCTCTGATAGATTACCATGCACCAGCCCTGGTCTTTCGTGACAGGAAAGGCTCGAGAAAATGGAAAATAAAGCCCTCAGAATTATCCAAGGATGTCCCATGAGCAATAAAGTACTTAATATGAGAAAAGAACTAGGTATACCCAGTGTCAAAGATAGAATAATTGAAGTCAACTTCATGATAGCCCTGAGGCTTCTGCGTGGTGATCCTGTGGGGAACTGGTTGTTTGGTTCACACTCAGTATGGGATGGAGAAAGGAAACTCACAATGTGCTCTCTGTATACATGTTATATTGGATGTACAATGCAGCTTGGTGCTGGGAAGTGGCAGCGTGGTTACAAGCGTGATGTAGAGAGAGCTGGTTGGTGAGGGTGCTCAGAGGAGGACAGCCTGTGGGTCGCCATGCTCGCCGGCGGGAGCGAGGGCCGCCTGGCAGCGGCGGAGGAGGTGGTGTTGCTTGCTGCAGCTGTAGCTAGAAAAAGAGAGAGGTCACCACGAGGTCAGGTCTTAAATAACGGGGGTAGGCGTGGCTTTTTTTACGGGAATTAGCCCACCCGGGCACAGGTCAAACGACCCACAACGGAGCCTGGGGGGCGAAAAAAAAAGAACGGAAAGAAATTGAAAATATAGAAAAAAAGGTTATACTGTATTAATCTACACCACGAAGATGCCGGAAAACCAGCTTTTTAAAGTGAGACAGATTGTAAGAGCATGGAAACACAGAAGAAGGCAAAGCATTCCACAGTTTGGCTGTGTGAGGAAAGAAGGAGGTACTATAACGGGTTATTCTCGTGTGACCGATATCCACAGAGAAATGGTGGGCACCGCGGGCAAGACGTGTGTTACGAACCCACGGCCTTACCGGCGGTACACAGGATGCCAAATCCCATGAACATTGCCCGTTAAAGTACCTGTAAAAGAGAGAGAGTGAAGCAACATTGCGGCGAAGAGAAAGGGGAGAGAGATTGTCGACTAAAGGAGGAGAGTTAATAAGACGAAATGCCTTTGATTCCACCCTATCTTATAGTTGGACAGAAGAAGAGCCACCCCAGATATGAGAGCAGTACTCCAAGTTAGGACGAATGAATCCATTATATTGTGGGGTATGAGATTGTTTGGTGTTCACTCAGGATGGGATGGAGAATGGAAACTCACAATGTGCTCTCATGTATACATGTTGTATTGGATGTACAATGCAGCTTGGTGCTGGGAAGGCAGCATGGTTACAAGCGTGATGTAGAGAGAGCTGGTTGGTGAGGATGCTCAGAGGAGGACCAGCTTGTGGGTCGCCATGCTCGCCGGCGGGAGCGAGGGCCGCCAGGCAGGCGGAGGAGGAGGTGTTGGCTGGTTGGTGTAGGTAGAAAAGAGACAGGTCACCACGAGGTCGGGTCTTAAATAGCGGGGGGTAGGCGTGGCTTAGTAGTTGACCCCAGCTCCGTGATGTATGGCGGCGCTGGTTGACCTAGACCACGAGGCATACACTGGGGAATTGTTGGGGTCGGCTACTCAGCGACAAACAGCGTTTGTAGGGGAGAAATCCACTACAATATACTTGGAGCAACTGCTCAGGAGTGAAGTAGCTGCGGCATCTGTACAGCATTCCCAACTTTCGGGAGGCAGCTTTAGTTATACTAAGGATGTGTGATTTCCAGGACATATTGGAGGAAATGGTGAGGCCTAACATATTTATTTCAGAATTTGGGGGGGATGATAGCGTCCTGAAATGTAATTGGTGGGAGATCGTCTACTTTACAAAGTGTAATTGGTAAATATTGAGTTTTGTTACGATTGAACTTAACCAAGTTTGTATCTCCCCACTCAGAGATGCTGCACAGATCCGCGTTGATAGAAGTAATGATATCAGTTCTAGAAACAGATCTAGTTTGAGAGTTAGGAGGAAGGGGAAAATGTGAGGAAGAGTGAAGAGTAGAATCATCGGCGTAAGAATGGATAGAATTAGTTGTAGTGTGAAGTAAATCATTGATAAAAAGAAGAAAGAG